TTCACTCTCGGAGACGGACGTTTCCAAACGTATCCATTCCAATCATCCTACTACCTGTCCACTTGATCCTATCCCCACTCACATACTTCAGGCCATTTCTTCTTCAGTCATACCTGCGCTTACTCACATTATCAACACCTCTTTTCTAGGGCTGGGCGATAAAACGGTATAGATATTTATCGACGGTACACCTTCTTCGATAACTATAAAAAAATGTTTCAATATAGTGCACGATATAGGCAGGTGCTATGAGTGACGCAGACAGCACACACAAACACGAACACATGCTAAAATGAGTGCTGTGCCTGCCTGTGATAAGGAGATTGTGAATAAAAAAATTAATATTAAGTCGATGCGGTGATGTAAGTGACGTTGTTGAATTTTAATGTTTTGTTAGTCTAGCCCACCAGATGCGCCGCTGCTGAGTTATTTATTCAAAATATTAGAGAAATATAGAAGCTCAATGCGGAGAAGATCTTGATTAGGTTAAAACCGAAACCAAGCCATTCACACAGAACGCATATGCAGCGCATTTTTTTAGATGGACAAATATGACTGCCGCACTCACGTCTCACACAAGAGATGTAACCATGCAAAGTTAAAACAGTTTAAACTTTTAAAAAACACATCGCAAATTTGTGGTTTATTCCTTTTCACTGCGTGTCTTATGTTTTTAAATGCAATCTACGTGATGGGCGATTTGGCTCTTTGTGTTAAGCAATGCATAAATACATGATACTGTTTTGTTCATAATTGTTTATGCAATTTACGAAATTATATTTGATTTATATGAGTTAATTTAGACGTAATGCATGCTTTTTTATAGACAGTTATTTCCATGCATTGACATTATGTACTGCATTATTTTGCTCATTGCGTCCTCCGGTGGCCTCGGGAGACAAGACAAAAGTTTCTTTAAAACCGATTTAATCTGCATATAAAACATTAGAAATTAGACATGTTTAATTTTTATTATGTGTTTGACTGTTAAAACAAAAAAAAATATTTGTTGTTTGTCTCAATAAATTAGGTTAATTTAAAAATACAGTGGTTCAAATTAAACATTTTTTTTCTATTGCTCTTTTATAAAAAATGTCAATAATTATCGATACCGAACGATATGAAACATTATATCGTTGATAAATCTTTTTAGCTGTATCGCCCAGCCCTACCCAGCCCTACTCTTTTCACACTGGTACGTTTCCCACAGCATTTAAGCAGGCTCGGGTAACCCCACTGCTTAAGAAACCCTCTCTAAATCCAGCACTTTTAGAAAACTACAGACCAGTATCCCTTCTTCCGTTCATTGCAAAGACACTTGAGCGAGTTGTGTTCAACCAACTCTTTATGTTCCTTGCACAGAACAACCTCCTGGACAACAACCAATCTGGCTTCAAATGTGGCCACTCAACTGAGACTGCTCTGCTCTCGGTTACTGAAGCCCTGAGACTGGCAAGAGCAGCTTCCAAATTCTCAGTACTCATCTTGCTGGATCTGTCTGCTGCTTTTGAAACCGTTAACCACCAGATCCTCCTGTCCACCCTCATAAAGATGGGCATCTCAGGAGCCGCACTCCAGTGGTTCAAGTCTTAACTCTCAGGTAGGTATTTCAGGGTGTCTTGGAGGGGTGAGGTTTCTAAGTCACAACTTCTTGCTACTGGGATTCCTCAAGGCTCAGTGCTTGGACCTCTTCTCTTCTCCATCTACATGTCATCATTAGGATCTGTTATTCAGAAGCAAGGCTTTTCTTATCACTGCTATGCTGATGACACTCGACTCTACTTCTCATTCCAACCAGATGATCCAACGGTAGCTGGTCGCATTGCAGCCTGTCTGAGAGACATTTCTAGCTGGATGAAGGACCATCACCTTCAACTCCACCTTGCTAAGACAGAACTGCTCGTGGTCTCAGCCAACCCAGCACTTCATCACACCTTCTATGTACAGCTGGGTTTGTCAACCATAACTCCTTCCAGGACAGCCAGGAACCTTGGAGTTGTGATCGATGATCAGTTAAGATTCACAGACCATATTGCTACTACGGCCCAGTCCTGCAGATTTGCCTTATACAACATTAGGAAGATTAGACCCTTCCTATCAGAGCAAGCTGCTCAACTCCTTGTCCAAGCTTTTGTTCTCTCCAGACTGGACTATTGTAATGCTCTCTTGGCAGGCCTTCCCGCATGTACTATCAAGCCTCTGCAACTGATCCAGAATGCAGCAGCGAGAGGTCTTTAAAGAGCCAACAAAAGCTCACGTTACACCTCTCTTCATTAGTTTACACTGGCTACCACTAGCTGCTCGCATCAAATTCAAGGTACTGATGTTTGCCTACAAGACAACAACTGGCGCTGCACCAATATACCTGAACTCGCTAATTCAAACTTATGCACCCTCCAGAAGTTTGCATTCTGCAAGTGAATAACGCCTTGTGGTGCCATCCTAAAGAGGCACAAAATCAATATCACAGACCTTTTCCTGGACTGTGCCTCAGTTCGAACAGCTGAGTCTTTGGCCATTTTCAAAAAACGTCTAAAGTTTTTGCCAGCACCTGACGAACTAATACTAGCACTTACCTATTCTATTCTATTCCATTCTATTAAAAAAACAAAAAGCATAAAAAAAACAATCCCTAGCTATGTGTATTGTGCTAGACTAACTGAGACTTGTCACAGCACTTGTATACTGTTGCTCTTTTGTTCGTCTGACTGCTTCTATTGTTCTCCTTATTTGTAAGTCGCTTTGGATAAAAGTGTCTGCTAAATGATTAAATGTAAATGTAATGTAAATTGCCTTCTGCAGGGACAACAAGAATACATAAAATAAAAGGGTACAAGTGCTTTTTGCTGTCTTTGCTGATTTTTTTTCTAGGATTCTGATTTTAATAGCAGAAACACTAGCATGTTTTCTTTGATGTACACGCTGGGATCGAGGGAAGATGCTTCTGTTGTCATCAACAGGAACCAGTCAAAAAGATCTTTTATCTCATCATGTCATTTCAAAACTGTATAATGTTCCTCCTCCAGAACTCAAAATGAGATATTTTTAAAGTGCCCCTATTATGGGTTATGAAAGGTTCATATTTTGGTTTTGGGAGTCCCCAACAACAGGTTGACATGCATGCAAGGTCAAAAAACACTTTCATTGTCTTATAATATGCATTTATTTTTACCTTACTTGCTCAACGACTCCCAAACGATTCGTTTAACGATTCAGTTTTCCAAACCCCTCCTTTGCGTGATGCTAATCTGTGGTGATTGGTCTGTTTGGTCTCATTTTCATTTCATCATGCCTGTAATGCCTGATAAAGCAGCATTTGTGAGTGCAGTGCTGCTTTGTGTACAGCGTTACCGGGGAAACAGCTATTTTACCGCTCCAAAAGCAGCACCTAGTGGCAAAGAATTAATTTGCATTTTCAATCAGACCAACTGGAAAAGACCAACAAGTGGGCGGGCAATATGCTAATGTTTCATGTTGACATCAACATGAAACGGCTTGGGATTCGTTTTAAAAAAGACTCGCTTCAATGATTCAGAGTCGACTCTTTCTTTTGAGAGACAATAACTTTATACACGGTGCACTCTCAGATTTAAAACTTTGCAGGTCCATGTTTTCATTCACTTAGAGCGGTGTTACACAATGCATAAGGTAATTTTCAAAAATCCATAATAGGGGCACTTTAAGAATATTTCAGTTGCTTCGGCCATTTAATAAAATCATCATTCATACACATTCATTGTGTAGCCATGGGAATTTTTCAATGTTTTTTGTATTCTGCATAAAAATGTTCTGCATATTTGGAATTATGAAAGGATAACATAATTTTCATTTTTTGGCCAAACTGACCCTTTAACGTTTTCCAGTGTAATAATTATCACAACCCTACTAAACAAGGTCATATGAGCGATTGGGCATAAAAGTATTTTCTGCACCATTACTCAGCTATCAGATAAATGTTTTTGGGTAACCATGTAAAGTGGTGAAAGGGACAGATTGCAACCATTTAAAAGTTTATTAGTATGTTCATAAATTGGATGGTGGCCAGACAAAGTTGTGTTTACCATGTCATATGTTGTGCGGCATTCATTTGTACTGTGTCTGTTCTGACAGCACGCATGAATTAGCCCTGTGACCTCATGGGAGAAATGAAAAACTCTTTAGAGGTAGAACACAGGCCTTCTCTGTTTGTCCAGTAACACACACACTCAAACCAGACAATTCAGAATCAACCATTGTCAAGCTGCACTGCATATGATGCCCCACAGTTTCCTGTTGTGCTGTGAATGCAGGGCAGAATAGGCTTTTGCACTTTGCTAATACCACTTCTCCACTGTTATGTACATTTTTCTTGTCCAAAATGATGCAGGTCATTGGTTTGCTATTACCTTGTCCTCCGTGTACAAAGTGCATTTTTGAGAAGATGAATATTGCTGACCACACCTGCTCTGTCTCACACCACAGCGTGTCAAACATGAGCTGACACCAACCTTATTCACAAATGCTGCTTCTCTTAAGTGCACCAAATCCCATTGAAAAGCGTGAAATCACATTGCAGCCTAACACAGAATGACCTTTGATATTTTCACATTAGGTGAAGGCTAGCCAAGAAAAAAAAAACCTCTCAGGCAGATGGCTTAGGCTTTAAATATCCGGGGAAAAGATGTGGATTTGGGGTGCTGAATAACAGCGTTGAGAGGAAGTCTGTCTGATTTATTCTGTTCAGGCTGTGCTGGGATGGCCCCAGCGGCCCCTCTTGAGGGACTAGGGGCAGGGATCCTGGTCATGTCAGTTAGTTAGTGGAATGAGGCCCAGCTCTCTCTTTAAAGCTGCCTCTGCAGATAAATGCTGTTTTCAGTCACACTCACATCAGCAGCAAAGCTTTTAAATGCATCAGACTTTCAATTATTTATTTTCCATGTTCATAAATTCTAAAGTAAGTGGTGCATCTGCTGTATATTGAATGATTTGGGATGATAATTATTTTTTTCTTTTTCTTTCAGTATTATGTGCCAAGAATCTGGCAAAGAAAGACTTCTTCCGTAAGTATATCTCATTTCACCTCCTTTTTCACAATCCTTCGTGTACCTTGGTGTTTACTGGCCCTCATGTCACTCCAAACCTGCATGACTTTTGAATAATGCGCTAGTTTCTCTTTTACGTATAATTACAGTAAATTGGGCATTCAAGCTTCAAAAATTGGTAAAAAGCACCATAAAAGTATCGTAGCAGTAGTCCATGATAATTGTGCACTATTTTCAAAGTCTTCTGAAGTCAGTCTGATAATTTTGTCAAAGTAAAAGACAAAAATTTAAGTTATTATTTCCTGATACAGCAGTGTGCTAACTGCTTTAAAATCATTCAGACCAATTTTGCGAATTGGATCAACCATTTAATTGAAAAGAACAATTCAGTTCACAAATTGGATGTTACTACTTCTCTCTTGAACTTTTATAAATGCACCAAGGTGAGATTGGGTGGAATTATGACACAAAGCTATCAAATGATTTCAGAATCCATGAAATTTAGAGCATATATCAGTGATGCTTTCGGTTTCTTTTGTTTTAGAGTTTGACAACAACAGTCCTCATTCAGTTTCAGTGTAAATTCACTTCTTTGTTGAAAAGAGTAGCAAGGATATTCTGCAAGTTCACCTTTTGTTTTTCACATAATGTTAAAAGAGTTTGAAATGTTACTTTTGGATGAACTATTATTTGACTTTAAATGCCCCTCAGAAATGGCTGTATGAAACATTTGTGATTCTGGAACATTAGTGCCTCTCTCCTCTGAGTTGTTCAGAGCCGCCCACTGGCTGCTTGTATCACTGGGGGGATTCACATCCTCATTCAGTGGCTCCTCATCAGATTCCACCCACTACAGCATGAGCACACTTCAATTTTCTGCAGTCTGAGCTCTCCATCCCAGCTGTTCTGACTGACAGGCTTGTTTGCCCCACTGGCCTCATCAGTGTGTGTCCCACATATTATTCAAATGCCTGGTGTGCGTCATTCATAGATCCTGTTTCTGTGCCATGTCCATTATGCTTCTCGTATAACAGAAGGTCACATGAGAATGTATGAGGAAGACAGGCAAAACAAGACCAGTTGTCCCTGATAATAATACATTAAATTATCAGTCTTAATGTTCCACAACAGATGCAGCATGCATTTCTCAGTAGTCTTTTTTCCCCACTCACTGAAATGCTTTCAGTGGAAATGCTCTTCATAGCTTCATGCCACCGAATGAACGGTGAACGAATGAAATAACACTGAGCAAAAAGCATGGCAAAGGCTATGACTAAACAACATAATACAGGACTCCAGACTGCACCTAAAAGGATTGCAAATGTAACACGAAAATAAACATTTATGACAGTAATTTAAAATCTGATTGTGTTTGGATTATACGTCATTTGCCTGCCGTGGCACCGCTCCCCACCGTCGTTTGGATATTTTTATAGTAACAAAAATCATTTAGCCTAGTTCAGTTAGAGGACAGACACTTTTAAAAACTAAACGCTCAATGCAGCGTGCCGAACTGTGCGTGAACGACAGTGCACCACGGAGCAGGAGTCAGATTTTATTTAACACGTGTCGAGTCGAGCTGACTGACATGAGTGAGGTGAGGAAGACAAGACAATGGCAGAAGATTGTGTAGAAAGGAAATGCAAAGGCGCCTGTTTGTCTATGTTTTAGATTTTGAAAAGCCTATTGACTGGACGTTTTTTTTAAACATTCGTTTCTTATTTATTTGGTTCCACAGTGTTTGCTGATTGATTTATTTAAACTTTGTGTATTTTATTTATTTTATTTTACATCAAGGTGTATATGCCGTGCCTCCAAGCTTTCTTATTTGTTTTGCTAATAAACGTTCTTTAGGGATGGAACGATTACTGGTTTCACGATATAAATCACGATAAAATGCCCTGACGGTTAGTATTATCGTTTAAAATTTTATTATCATCAAGACCGTATTTGATTATCGCAATTTTGAAAACTTGCGGTAAATCCTGTCCAGCCAGCATCAGTCTGACGCAGAAGCAGCATGCAATGTTGTTGTTTTTTTGTTTTTTTTTGCACAAGACGAAATAGCGGAAGGCAGTGACAGCGCTCAGGAGATTTTTCAGTCATCTAAGAGGACCAAATCGGTGGTCTGGTCGTATTTTGGCTTTTTACAAGAGTCCTGAAGGCTGTTTAATCGAGGACGGTCACCCTGTCTGCCGATCTTGCAAGAAGAAAGTAGCAGAAAAAGGGGGATATGCATCAAATTTGCTCCGTCATCTTCGTGACCACCACACACTGTTATATAGTGAATGCAAGGTAACTTTTACCTCAATACCAAAACTAACTGGGCAAATAATTGGACAAAAAATATTGATTAGAGATTAAATATTCCGCGAAGAAAAGTTTGCAGCAAGTGGCTTTGAGCCAAGACAAACAACGTTCAAATTATAAGGTTGACATTTAAGGGATAATGTATTGTATAGTCATAGTTAACTTATTACACAGATTTTTGTTTTGTTTACCTATAATATATAAATACGGGGATATGAAATATTGAATTGAGATTAATGTTTTGAAATCTTACCTGTTTATAAAACCGTTATGAACAGTGTACAAAACAATCGGTCAGGACAATATGATCAATACAGCAATATTATAGTAGTATTAATACTAAATTCCTCTGATTTCATTTTCAATACAATCAAAAACTGAGACGCAAGATGGCAAGCTGCATTTGAATGAAACGAGAGCGCGTCTGCGCCTCCGCGGTAATACAAGAGACTAGGGCTGGGTATCGATTTAGATGTCCCGATTCGATTCGATTTCAATTCGCAAGCTCTCGATTCGATTCTCGATTTTTTTTTATTACATTCAGTGAATATAATTTTAATACAAATGCTATTGATATTTCTAAAAAAGCATCAGTTTACAAATGGTGAATTAATAAAAAGAAATTAAGAACCACATGCCTGTATTTTAAACCTATTATTTGTTTTGTATAGGGTCCTTTTTTAAACAATGAGAGGGCCCTATAACATTTTCTTAATTTTTCTGGTAATCAGATGAAGGCATAAAACATTAATTTTAATTTATCCTAATCAAATGAATATTAAACCATTTTATTTTTTGGCCAACAAAGTGCTGCACAACAGAGGTGTACTGTTAAAATTAAAAAGAAAACAGATGTGATTTATTCCTTTTTAAAAATAAAGATTTATTAATATGTATTAGCAGTAGTAGCATTGAGTCTTAAGACTGTTAAATAGTCATATATTCTGACAGTTTGTTATCGTTAAACTAAACGTTTATTTTGACGGGTTGCCGTGAAGAACTTGCAGCTGCTGTGTATGTGATATGACGGTAGTTTTCTCAAATGAAACGGTAAAATGCTAATGAAGTGACTCTCAGAGCAGCTGGAGATGACATTCGTGTTCATATCATCATATAGTGAGACGGCAGAAGCTGAAAACACAGCGAGCATCATCCACGCTTTAGTATGCGTGTAGTAAACAAAAAAGTGCGCCGCACCATCCGCCATTCATTCACTGTGGAAATCATGGCGCCTTATGCATGATATCAAATGCTTCCGCAGATTTATAGTATTACTATAGCATTTCACCTGAGCATTGCGAATCACGCGTATGGCCATGATAAGTGCTGAATGAATGACAGGATTTCTGTTGTAACATCATAAGGGTGACATCTAGTGGAGAAGACTAATGATAAGATTCACGTTAATCAGAACTTGTTTTAAATGTGTGCTGAAATAAATACCCAAAAAGATAGATTCGCGGCTTTTGAGAATCAATATAGAATCGACGTCATTTAAAAAAACGATTAATTGAAAAATCCCCTTTTTTTTACCCCTACAAGAGGATTCGAATTCCAAACAGAAGTGAGCATCCCTATGCCCTACTCCCTTCGAAGGGCAGAGCCCTTGAAGTGTGTTCTTTGAAGGGTGCAGGGTATTACTGTCTCGTATAAGTGTTTGAAACTCCCTTGGCGAAGGGAATGACTAAGACAAATCTGCGCGTGTCTGCAGTATTCAGTACTCCATCAGTTGTTGCAAATAAATATTTATTATTATTATTATTTTATTCAAATATTGTCTAATTGTGTCTTATTTACTTTTAAATGTTTTCAAACTAAACTTGCTTACACTACCGTCTTAAATCATATTTCTATCACTGACGAAAAATATGTTCTTACATTAAAATAGACAAATTTAATTAGCCTATTCTATTTATGTTTGCATGTGAACTCGAAATCAACCCCAACTTTGCTTTAAAAAGCATCACAAGACATGATCAATAACGAAAATCACATCATTTTCATCTAATTTTAACAAAACCGTGATAATATTGATAACTGATAAAGTTAGTCACTATAATCGTGAAATGAAATTTTCATACCGTTACATCCCTACGTTCTATGTTTCTTATTTATTTGGTTCCACAGTGTTTGCTGATTTTCAGTTTTATATACCTATTTAAACTTTGTGTAGCCTAAGAAATTTGTTATTTTATTAGGCATAGGCCTATATGGTGTATTTTTATTAATTTTGTTAAAAGTTCTGAGTTTGACGTTGTTGTTGCTTGAATTGAATCAACGCTGAATTGCCCCTAGTTTGAAAGTGAAAGTAAAACTCGCACAGGACACTTTTACAAGCCATTTGAAAGCAAAGAAAGTAGGGAAACTCAAACGAACTAACACCCCTCCCCCCCACCCCAACGGTAATACCGGTGTTGTCACGCGTCGATTAACCGGTGGGAAAATTTCCTCACCTTCACAACCCTACTGTTGGTGATGTAACCCATAATGTCTGATTCTCGAGCGAATTACTGGTTCTTTGAATGAATCATTTAAACACATTAACGAATCAGTCTCATGTTCTTATCAGTTATCAGTTTGAATAATCTAACAGCTGAGTAAGAAACACTCAAATATGTTTCAAAAATACTGTTGGTTACTTTTTAGCATATACATTAACAGTAAACTATGCCAATCAGTTGTAAGGTGAAATCATTTTTAAGAGTGAGCTTTGCTTGGCTGTGAATGTGAAAGCTCAGTTACATGAACCATCAAGCGAAATTTGACTCTAAAATTGGAATATGCTACACACCTTTTGCCCAGATTTTTGCCCTGATTTGCAGTCTGGAGGATTCGTTGCTAGTTGCCAAAAGTCAGAGCCAGTCTACAGATATTTGCCATTTGGAGATGACAGATTTTACAGATAAATAATGGGCACATAATGTATAAAGGGCACCTTTTTTAAGCTTTGGACTATGATTTCATCCAGTCAGATGATTTCAAACAAGTTTAATATTTTGCGTTACATTTAGATAGTTTTAAATAGTTTTAGAATGCATTATTTTTGCTTTTCATGAGGCAGGTTTCTATGCAAGAGTGTTTTGGTCAGAACGACTTGAAAGTCTGGTAGTGCGTGAGAACTTCAGTCATTTAGAGTATGATGCCCAGTTTTCTCTGTAACCATTTACAAAGTCAACAAGTGTTTTAAAATCTGTTCAGAAGTCACGTAGTGTATTCCAGCCTTTACAGAACAGTGATATTTATGTGGCACAAAAACAGTCAGGATCACTAGATTGACAGCATCATGGTGGAACACGAATTTATACTAAAAAGACTAGTAACACATCCTAGTTTATATAACTTTTTTTATACAAGCACTTTTCTTTCACATTACTTTTCATATTTAATTACCTGCCAAAAAAAAAGTGATTGTAAAATGACTTTGAGGCTTTATGTGTAAGCGAATTTCTAACTTGGCAATTGAAAGTCAGTAGCTCGTACTTTTTGTTCTGGGGATCTGTAAAGCCATCCAAATATTTTCAGTCTATCTAAATTTTTGCAGCTGTCATTGTAGAAGCTGCTTAGATGTCCAGATTGTAACGGGCAATGAGAGGACAGTCTGTGACAGCCGAGTTTGTCCTCTGTTGTTTATTTGTCTTCCTCCCACACTGTCGTTCTGCTGCAGGTTTGCCTGATCCTTTCGCCAAAGTGGTGGTGGATGGCTCGGGGCAATGTCACTCTACAGACACGGTCAAAAGCACATTGGACCCCAAGTGGAATCAGCATTACGACCTGTGAGCAAATTCCTCTATAAAGATACTGATGCCTAATTTTGGTTGTTCTCAGTGGTATTCGTGATGTTGTGCAGTTTCAGTCATTTAGTTAATCTTTAAAATAATGGAAACAATATTAGTTAGTGATTTTAAAAGGAGGAAATTGCTAAAGAGAGTCTTTCTGCAGGTATATTGGGAAGACAGATTCCATCACCATTAGCGTATGGAACCATAAGAAGATCCATAAGAAGCAGGGTGCGGGTTTCTTAGGCTGTGTGCGGCTCCTGTCCAACGCCATCAGCAGACTAAAAGACACAGGCTGTGAGTATGATACTTTTATAGCCTGCCGTAATCTCTTTATTGAGCCACATCACAGTCGTTACATGTCTTCATTAAATTTGTGGTAAACTGTGTATCTGTAGTCTATAAAAGTTTGATGAGCTAGTTTGATTACATCTTGTTGTTTATCTATCTCACCATCAGACCAGCGTTTAGACTTATGCAAGTTGAACCCATCTGACAGTGATGCTGTCCGTGGACAGATCGTTGGTAAGTATTAAGCAATGCAGGTAGAACTTGTACAGAATTTTTCAGATACAGTGGCCCCAAAATGTATTTAGCCACTTCAATGACACTTTTAAAATAAGTATTTGCACTAGATAACAAAATATCAAACTGAGAGTTTATTTTAAAGAAAGAAAACACAAGTGCAGTTTTTCATTCAAAACATTTAAGATGAAATTTGGCTCATTAAAGTGAGGTTAGTTCTGAGAAAAGCATTATTTGTAGATATTTGCAGTCAAGATCATATTTTTATTTGATGTGTGTCATTGAAATGTCTAAATACTTTGTGTAAATTCAAATGTCAACTAACAAACTAATGAAAATTAATATTCCTGAATCAGTATTTGACTAAATGAAGAGTCTTCTAACTAAATGCCTCAATGTGAAGACTTTTCTTTAACCATTTTGTTTATTTTTGTAGTGAGTCTGCAGACCAGAGACAGAATTGGCAGTGGAGGGCCTGTGGTTGACTGTAGAGGACTAGTAGAGAATGAAGGGTGAGCCAACTTTTGTCTTGAGGATGCACTTTTTTTTTTAAGCACTGTCTTGTTCATCAATACCAAGACTGTAGATTTGATCCAGTGAAATGTTTGTGGCTGTATGTATTTTAGCACCTGCTCTGTATATGTGTATGTTTCAGGCCAGTCTTTGAAGACTCAGGGCCCGGGCGGCCTCTCAGCTGCTTCATGGAGGAGCCCATGCCATACACAGATCCTACAGGAGCCGCTGGCGGGGGCAACTGCCGTGCACTTGAGTCACCCAATCAGGAGCAACGGCTACAAGCACAACGCATCAGAAACCAAGATTCCAGAGGGCACGCACACACACCCCAAAATAGACCACACGGACACCAGTCCCCCGACCTCCCTGAGGGCTACGGTAAGTGTTAATGTGTTATGAATGGGTGAGGATGAAATTTACCTGGATGTGTGTTTTTTTTACGTCTGATTGTTTAAGCTTTTCATTTTTTTGTCGGTGCTTTAAAACACCACTGGTACTGCCATCAGAGTACTGATTTTGTAACAAATTCACTTCAAATTGCCTGGTGTGAGCAATTTTCCTGTCATTATGTATAGTCTGCAGGTCACTGTTCTTTTTTGAGGGCTGTTAGTTTTGTGCAATAAGAGGTTTATATAAATATTTAACTATAAAAATATGTAGTTTTGCACATCCCTAGTGCATATACCTGATCTCCTACCCACAGTACTGCTAGAGTCCACTGAGACTAATACAGCTTAGTGATCAGGGTAGAGGCTACTGAAGTGCAGTGAACTGGGGAGACTGAGCTCTGAAAGGAGTCTATTCACTCTGGCACTGCTGCTTTAGCTGAGCCGTGTGGCCACTGCGGCCCGCATTACACAGGTGGATTGGCTGTGGTAAAGCCCCTCATTGGAGTGCAACCGTGCCTGACCCTGTTGGTGTTGTGGTCGAGTCCTCTGCCATGACCAGTGGACGGCGCCAGTGTAATTAAATCTCAGACTAGACATGCCACACTAGCTGTGTGCCATCTGAGAACTGGAAGCTCAGCGTCCTGTTGCAGTTGCCCTGGCGCTCGTTTAGGTTACGTGTAAACTGGCGTCTGAGTTAGCTGTGGCTCATTCACTCTTAACGTGTCTTTTCTCTTTTCTAATACAGAGCAAAGGACCACAGTGCAGGGCCAAGTCTATTTTCTGCACACACAGACTGGCGTGAGCACCTGGCATGATCCCAGAATACCCCGGTAGGTTTAATCACCACCCGCCTTTGCTGAAATAACGATTGCCCTTGTTTGATTGCTCCTCGCTGCTAATGTGAAATCACTCTAATCACAGATCTTTAATGTCCACAATCAGCTAACTTGATAATCAGCAATCTCAGTTAATAGCTGCTACTGTTGACATTGTGAAGCTTAATCGTTTGATCAACATCATAATAATGACCTCAAAAGCATGAGAAAAGGGACACAAAATGAAGCCTGTTAGTGAGGAAAGCAGGGTGGAAAATCAACACATGCCACCAGCTAAATGCAAATGCTTTTTGTGCAGTGGCAGGTTATTTTGCCTTAACAGTCACTGTTGCGTGTGACCTCTTAAATTGGTCAAATAACATGCTTGTATATTCAACACACACATGTGAGTATGTTTTGAATAAGTTCTTATATACTGTCGACTGTTTGTTTTCATCTTCAGTTTCACCAACATCTCTTTAAGGCAAGTCAGTCCACTTGGTGTCTGTCTATGTTATGCCCCGGGCAGCTTTTTTCTAATTGGGTAATAAATACTAGCTCTACTTGCATGGAGAAAGTTTACTTTTTTGAAAGAAAATCATACCTTTATTCAGCAAGGGTGTATTAAATTGATCAAAAGTTATAGTCAAGTAATTTATGCTACAAAAAAAAACTGTTTAAAAATAATGCTGTTCTTTAGAACTTTTAAAAGAATCCTGAAAAAAAGTATCATGGTTTCCACAAAAATATTAATCAGCACAACTCTTTTCAACACAATAATAGTAAGAAAAGTTTCTTATTGATTTCTGAAGGATCATCTGACACTGGAAACTGAAGTAATGGCTACTGAAAATTCAGCTCTGCCATCACATGATTAAATTGCATTTGAAAATATGTTAATATAGAAACATTCATTTTAAATTGTAGTAATATTTCACAATAGTACTAAGCATAAGAGATTTATTTTCAAACATTAAAAAAAATCTTACCCACTCTTTTGAATTTAACAAAAATATAAATGGTAAAATCCGAGTGTCTGGTAAAATAGGGCATTCACCTGCCATTGTGGCTGGTGGATGAAAAAAGTTAATTTCCCACCCTGAAAGGAGGTAAAAAGAGACACCATTATATGTATTGAGCACCAAGTGTGATGGGTGCGCTTGCTCCTTCAGGGATTTGAACAGCGTGAGTTGTGAGGAGCTGGGCCCTCTGCCGCCCGGCTGGGAGATCAGGAGCACTGTGTCAGGACGAATTTATTTTGTCGACCATAATAATAGAACCACGCAATTCACTGACCCCAGGTTACACCACATCATGAGGTAAAACATTTTTCACATCGGCTTTGCTCTTAACATCTGATTACTCATTCCAGCTCTTAAATTATCCTGTTAATTATTCACCACAATGAATAAATCATCTTTGTGTAATTAAAGTTGCTAGTAATGATAATTGCTTGCTCGTATAAGGGTTTATTAAATTAATTCTCAACATTTATTTAATTCCTAATCGTCCCTAGTGGGAGTGTAACCCAAATGATGCATGAAAATGTCTTTGTCCAGTGTCTTGATAAACTGCTATCAATGTGTGGATGTATTGGTACACATGTGACATTTATGTGTGTTTTGCATGTGATGAGCAGCCAACACTCTCAGGGGAAGGAGTCAAGCCAGGCTCTGCCTGTACAGATGGAGGTTGGTATGGAGGAGGGTGATGGGGAGCTACCGGTGCGCTACGAGAGAGATCTGGTCCAGAAACTTAAAGTTCTCCGCCATGAGCTCTCCCTGCAGCAGCCTCAAGCTGGCCACTGCCGCATAGAAGTGTCCCGTGAGGAGATCTTTGAGGTACTCGCAGTCACACAGCTGAATAATGCCAGTCATGTAGTGCATGCATAATTTAGTTCTAACAGCACTGTGGAACTGTTTTTGTCATTTGAAGTGACTAGAGATGCATCACCATTAGGTTTGCACACTGATGCTTGCTTTTTGGTTTCCAACAGTAGGACGCCAATATCAGTATCTTAAGTAATGCTGCAGTTTTTGGTCAGAGCAATATGAGACAGATAATTTTAGGAGAGTATGTCTGTTATTTTGTATTTTCTACTTTATTTAGTTTAATATACATCACTGGTAATCCTGTGCATGACTCATCAGTGCACATTATTCCAAAGAAAAACAAATTGTAATCTTTTATCCCAGTGTAGAGTTAATATGTTTGTGGTCAGTAAGATTTAAGTCTCTTGTGTTCACCAAGGCTACATATATTTGATCAAAAATACAGTTAAACCTATAATATTGTGTAATATTATTAGAATTAAAACGGTTTTATATTTTAAAATGCAGTTTATTCCTGATGGCATAGCTGAATTTTCTGTCTTCAATGTCACATGATTCTTATTTATATTATTCTGAAAAGCTGATTTATTAATACATTTCTTAGTAATGTGGAACATTTATAATTCTTTAATGAATAGAAACATCAGAACAACATTAATTTGAAACGGATACTTTTTATAACTTTATAAACTTCTTTACTGTCACTTTTGATCAATTTTTATGTACCATTTCTGAATAAAAGTATTAATTTCTTTAATAATATCATATTGACCCCAAACTTTTGAATGGTAGTGCAGTAACTTGCTATTTGAAACGATCTTTTTTAAACTTTGATATAATGGCCAAAATGTACATATTATTTTAAGCTAGTTTACAATTTGTTTCATTTATAAATTAAGCTTAATATGTAATTTATGTAAATTAATGTTTCACTCAGAAATATATCACATTTCTGCTCTATCTGTGCAACAGGAGTCTTATAGACAGATCATGAAGATGAGACCCAAAGACCTGAAGAAGCGGCTGATGGTGAAGTTCAGAGGAGAGGAGGGGCTAGATTACGGTGGAGTTGCTAGGTAGCATATGAATCTGTTCCATGCAAAAGGTTCTCATTAATTAATTTCCCCTGTGCCTCATTATTCCCCCATCTCTTTTCGAACGCCAGACCTGACTTAATAATTTCAACAGTTTAGCTGAATCTCAGCCAGGCTTATCAGCATGTAGGGCATCATGTTCACGATATTGCAGGTGTTCCCCTGTTGAGCACAGAGTTTAGACTGAACTGCAGCCAGCAAGACACATATGAGTATCTTAAAAAAAATCTGACTTCTATCTGAATTCCTGTCCTGTTCCAGGGAATGGTTATATCTCCTCTGCCATGAGATGCTGAATCCATACTACGGCCTGTTTCAGTACTCCACTGATAACATCTACACACTACAGATCAACCCAGACTCATCCATCAACCCTGTAAGTTGTGCAGCGACCTATGTTTCATTTTCTCACCTAAACAAGACCCAATAAATCTGTATGTTATGAAGAAATTCAGCAAAGGCTGTGCTTCTTGGACCACTCTATGGTTGTCATGTGTGCTTGAAAAGGTTCACCAAGGTTACTCTGCTGCTGCAGGATTTCATTAAACTTCCTCTCACGCCCTCTGCTGTTTTCTCAGGACCACTTGTCTTACTTCCACTTTGTTGGGCGGATTATGGGTCTGGCTGTTTTCCACGGGCACTACATCAATGGAGGCTTCACCTTGCCCTTCTACAAGCAGCTCCTGGGGAAGCCCATCCAGCTTTGTGACCTTGAGACTGTGGACCCAGAGCTGCACAAGAGCCTCGTCTGGATACTGTGAGTGAATTTTATAAGAAATGTTCAGATCAATTTCAATAGAATGAAATAAAGTCTTTTAGACCAAGAGAGAGCACTTATATTTCCCACAGACTTTTCTATAGCACAGTTGTGCTTGTCCCACTTTTAAAGTAAAGATTTTGAAATTACACAAGCTAGAATGTGACAAATCTATCATCTGGGGGAAATAGGATTTAAAAAAATATAGCAACCCCTTCCCAATTCTTATTTTTCAGCATTAAAATAATATAATAATAATAATAATTAAAATATATGCAACACCAGTTAAAGGACACACCAGCTTGTTATTAGGATTTTTCACATTTTAGAATAAAATAATAATAATAATAAAATAATAGAATAATTAAAACATCCAAATTATGTAATGACACAAGTAGAGAAAGTATAGGCTTCATGCTTCTTCATGCTTGAGTACAGTGTTAGTATTTGGTTGTGGCAGTATTTGTTGTGCTGCTTTTTTAATGTATGCTAATTTGAATGAAAAAAAGTTTTTTTTTAAGTGAGAATATAATGAGAATCACCATGGCAAATGTTGGGAATTACAACAAAAACCAGTCAGTGTGGTCAAAAAAACAGCTTGATATTTATGTGTTGTTAATGGGTAGCCTGTTGAATGTAAGCAACAATATAAATAGCTTTGCTATATTTGTCTTTTGTTTTTTAGAGAGAATGACATCACATCTGTTTTGGACCACACCTTCTGCGTAGAACATAATGCTTTTGGCAAATTCCTCCAACATGAGCTGAAACCAAACGGCAAGAACATCCCAGTCACAGAGGAGAACAAGAAAGAATATGTGAGGTATGAAGAGGTCCACGCATGTGAACGGACCAGACACAGCAAATTCATGATCACGCTCTCAGAGAAAGTCAGCCAGCAGAGGGCAGCAGTCACATGGCTAGTTGGGCTTGGCAGAGGGTGTTAGGAGCCTCGCTGCTTTTCCACTGTCAATTTGATTGAGTGAACCCTGGATATATAAGCTACTGCTCAAGAATGTTAAAAGAATGTAAATTTTTATGGGAGTCGTTATTTTGTGCGAGTCATTGCCAAATAGAAATGAATCAGAGGTTGTTAATGGTGGACTAAGGGTTGCAGATGCCTGTTAGTGTTCTCCACGTTCCACTGCAAGTCTCTAATGATTGATTGTGTCTGTGTTAGGCTGTATGTCAACTGGAGATTCATGCGAGGCATTGAGGCCCAGTTCCTCGCCCTGCAGAAGGGCTTCAACGAACTTATACCACAGCATCTGCTCAAGCCTTTTGACAACAAGGAACTTGAGGTAATTCAGACATTTCAGACATGCTGAATGGATAGGCTGATGAAGAGAATGCTCTGGCTAATGTCAGAGACATTAAAAGGGGAGGAGACAGACCCGTTATATTATATAATAAATAGGAGAATCAAAACACTAAATATGACATTTCAACCAAATTATTAAATCAGACACTTAAACATACTCTTATTGCTCTCATGGAAGATATCAGGAACGATGAAATCTAATTACATGTTATTTGTGACTTAATGGCCAATAAGAAGAGAAGTGTTTAAAGTATTATTATGTCATACAAGCTTTTTTCAATTTTGAATGTTATCATTTAAAAGATTGAGGTCTGTAGGGCTGTCAAAATGACTGAAAAACTAAATTCGAATTTTCTACTTAAATATGATCAAAATTCGAATTATATTCGAATTTAAAAGGCATAATTTCAGTTAGGGGGAAAAAGCTTTTGGCTTCTCTCCTGAGGCCACAAGAGGGTGCATCGAGCAAAATATTATGCACGTTTTTTCAAAGCGTAATAAAATAACACGACTATCTTTGAAAAAAGTGCATAATGTTTAAAATAATGTTTATAAACCATATATAATTAATAAAGTTGCTTAAACAATTAGAAAAAAAACAGCACCATGCATGTATGTATAGTTTAATACAAAGGACCGAAAACCAATCACAAAAGAGTAGACTACTTTCTTTATTTAAAAACATGAGATACAGTGGGATGGGGGAAAACCGCCATAACGTCTTTAGACATGTTTTTTAAAAGTTGAACCCAAGCATTAATTTTACATGGCTTTCTAAACATGCCGCTCTCTTGTGTGAGACGCGAGTGCAACGCTGATAGATGTCCCTCTAGAAAATGTGATAAATATGCGTTCTGTGTGAACGGCTTGGTTTCAGCTTTGACGTAAACAACATCTCCACACTGATGCTCTCGTTTTCCGCAATATATTGAATGAACAACGTAGCACCGCCGTATCTAGTGGGTTCAACTGGATAGGCTTACAAAAGCATTCAAATGCAATCAATGACACACGTACATCGTCATCGCATCTCGTGCGCCACTGATAAGGCTGCCTGACGGCTGATGCAGACCTTAAATTCGAATGCACCGTTTTTGCATTCGAATGTGGATTGTTTTTTTTTTAATTCAACGAATATTTGAAATTCTAATTTTTTTTTGACAGCCCTAGAGGTCTGTAAGATTGTTTTTTTTTTAGTCAAGGCTCAAGGCTGCATTTGTTTGATCAGAAATACCGTAAAACAGTAGCATTGTGAAATATTATAACAATTTTAAATAAGTTTTTTAAAATGTAATTTCTAAACACATTATTCCTGTGATGCAAAGCTGAATTTCAGTCTTCAGTGTCACATGCTATGCTGATTTGCTGCTCAAGAAACATTTCTTATTATCAGTTGAAAACATGCTGCTTAAAGGAGACATAGTATGCCCCTTTTTACAATATGTAAATATAAGCCTCTGGTGTCCCCAGAATGTGTCTGTGAAGTTTCAGCTCAAAATACTCCACAGATCATTTATTATATCATTTTGAAAATGCCTATTTTGAGTGGAAGCAGAAACATGCTGTTTTTCGGGCCTGTTTCTTTAAATGCAAGTGAGCTGCTGCTCCCCGCCCCCTTTTCTAGAATAGGGTTGCGCCATTACAGCTTGTTCCTGCTAAAAAACATCTGTTTTGGTTATGATTATCATGTTTATCGCGCTGAAATCATGCGTTTTAAACCATATTAGTTTAAACATCTGATATACGGTTTTCTGAGCGCACACATCGGAAGCACACGGACAGAAAGCGTCTGTCACAGCATGCGAGTACTAAACTAAGTTCTCATTCACACACAAGTTTACGTTAAAAACACATGAGTTACAAAAACAGTCGGGTATGTCTGTGAAGGTAAACTGCTGGGAAATAAATTGCATGTTTATTTTAGATCTGTGTGGCAGCAGCAATATACCGTAAATAAATCAATCAATCCACTGCTCTCTTGTCTTCTCTGAGGCTGGGACTCTAAACAGTGTTCTGTGCTCGTCTGTGCAGCCAAAGACTGAACAGTTAGCATGTTTTGCTCAAACTTTTGCCATGGCATTAGAGCTGGTACACCGTTGTCGCTTGCAAAAACACAATAACGGCGCCGTGGGTGGAAACTTACAGATTAAGGGGCGTTGATATTATAATGAGATCCCTTTGCCACATCACCAAGGGAGCGAAATCAGACGCGCTTGCAGAAAAAAGCTTCCCAAAACAAAGTTACTGGGTTAATCTTTTTCACGTTTCCTTGGTTGGTAGATGCATCGGGGACCTGATTATAGCACTTAAAACCTGGAAAAGTCAGATTTTCATATGTCACCTTCAATATTTTTTTAGAAATCATAATATTTTAAGGATTTTTTTTGATGAATGGAAATAACAGCATTCATTTGAAATAGAAATCTTTCGTAACATCATAAATGTCTTCTTTACTGTCATTATTGACATCTTACTGACCCCTAACAGGAAGAGCAGTGTATCTCCATCAAACGACATTCCCTGCCCCCTCATCATCATTTTCTATTCTCCTTACCATCAGTAAATGTGGTGAAAAGGTCAAAAATAATTTTAGTTTCTCTCTTCATTGTAGCTGATCATCGGTGGTTTGGGCAAGATCGATCTGAATGACTGGAAGGCCAACACGCGGCTGAAGCACTGTGTGGCTGACAGTAACATAGTGAAGTGGTTCTGGCAGGCGGTTGAATCGTTTGACGAGGAGAGGAGAGGCAGACTGCTACAGTTCGTCACAGGCTCCACACGCGTCCCTCTACAAGGCTTCAAAGCACTGCAAGGTGGCTAATGGATAAGCCATGTGCACTTTCAACACACCTGATTGTGCTTGTCAATGTTAAGCTTCCTAGTCTGACACTTTTTAGTTTGTATTGGCCTTAATCCTAGTTAGAAATTCCCTGATTTAAGGCAACATGAAACCAGAATTTATTAATTGTCCCTGAACTTATGCACAATTCATCAGTGCATGTAATTCTGAAGCAAAAACAAATGACATTTTCATCATTTGAATGATTTTTCTTCATCCATTTTAACTGATAATGCTGTAGCCTAACATGTTTCAAATGTTCCCTGTACGAACAAAACTATCAAGTTCAACCCTACATTACATCCTGCTGAATATTCAGATTTACTATTAACAATATGAAAGCTAAATGAGTTGTGAATTTTATTGTCTTTTTAAAATAGGGTGTTCATCCTCACTTCTGTTGAGTGTGAAGATTTGGAGAACAGTGATAACTAGAATGTATCTTTGTAAGGTTCTACAGGTTCTGCAGGACCAAGACTCTTCACTATTCATTTAATTGATGCCAACACAGACAACCTGCCCAAAGCCCACACATGGTAAGATTTAGTCTTAATCTAAGATAATAAAAGCCTATGGTTTTCACGTAATGAAGATACAGACTATTGTCTTTTAAAGGGATCGTGTTATGAGGAATCAAACTTTCCTTGATCTTTTGAAACAAAATACTGTTTTCAACATTGAAAATAAGAAGAAATGTTTCTTAATCAGCATACTAGAATGATTTCTGAAGGATCTTGTGACACGGAAGACTGGAGTAATGATGCTGAAAATACAGCTTTGCCATCGCAGAATCACATTTTTAAATATAAAAATATTTATTTTAAAAATAAAATAGTATTTAGTAATAATATTTCACAATAATACGGTTTTACATTATTTGTGATCAAATAAATGCAGCCTTGATGAGCATCTGAGACTTCTTTCAAAATGATTTTAAAAAACAGACCCCTAACTGTGCACCCTAATGTATGTACGTACTTCCATACTGTAACCTTCAGCACTCAAAACTTTCCTTTCTAGCCTAGAACAAGCATTTATTGAAAGTAAGCTGCAAAACCAACATTATGAACTTCACACAGATGAATATATGCAAAGTACAAATATATTGCAATTACCTTGCAGAAAACTAAATTGCTATCTTTTCAAATGAAAAAGTGTTTCTTAACGGCATGGTTGTAAAACAAAAATAAAAAACCTCTTTATTTCTATGGTCCAAAGAGACGATGGATTGTCATATGACACTATTTGGTGCTTTACTGAAATTAAAGTCATGCTATAAATATTAAACCATACAAATGTGTGATGGAATGAATTCTGAAATACTGACTTCTCTTATTCCTTCAGCTTCAACCGGATCGACATCCCGCCTTACGAGTCATACGAGAAGCTCTACGAGAAGCTCCTGACCGCCGTGGAGGAGACGTGCGGCTTTGCAGTGGAGTGAGCAAGTGCCCTGTCCAGCCAGCCAGCAATGGCAGCAAACCCACCAAGCAGCCCCAGCCATCCCTTTCACCCCCCTCCCCTTCTCCAGGACAGACGGACTGGTGTCTCCTGACAGACTTTAGCATCACCCGCCAGCCTGAAACTGCAACGGAGGGGAGCGACCACCCAAGGGCAAAACTCTCAAAGACTAATGATTCCTCACAACGGGATGCGAGAATTGTTTTTCCATTACCACAATAAGTTGCAGAGAAATCTGATCAACGTTTATTTTGTCTCTCAGAAATCCAGTTTGTATTGTCTTTGTCACTGAAGCGGTGGGTTGATAGCGTCGAGTATGTTTGTGCTGCAGTACGTAGAGACTCGCTGAGCCTGTGGACTACATGAAGTAGAGCTCACGTTTTAGTCTAGGTGGACTATTTTAACATGCACAGAGCCTGTGACCATTAAACCAGTTTACCTACAGCAAATGCATCTTGGGACATGGTTGGTCTGCGTTGTAATGTTCGGTATCGTCTCCACTTATTGACTTTTATTTCCTTGTGTCCCGTTCAGTGCTCTAGGATGGCATTTCAGTGGTATCCATTTCCTGTACTCATCAGCGTTCTCATTGTAGAAATTAACGCGATTGCTTGAAATCTATTATTGAGTTTGTAATTTTTTTTGTCAAAGATCAAGAACATGCTTAACGGCGAGTCATCATCCTCATGTGGAAACTGTGAATGTCACAGCGCCCATGTGTTAATGTTCTTCAGCTGAAGCACAACGATCATGTGCAGTCTAGAGAAGGACCCAAAGCCCTTGCAAAGTCAGCAGTTTCCTGAGCGAGCCAGTATTTTCATTACATACATTTTTTTTTTTTAATGTTTTTATGCAGTGAGCATTCCTCTATTGTCAACAAAAAGCCTATTTTTTAAAGGTAATGTTTAATGAATGGTGTTTTAATCTGCAGATTTTGAAGCAAGTCAACTTCTGTCACCTTCTGGAAAAGCATTCTGATCCATTGTGTCCGTTAACACACCTAAACTGGATTCCTAAGTGTAGCTTTGCAAAGAAAACGGATGTTGAATGTTTTAAAGAAGCTCTTTTTGTCCTTAATTTTGATGGACCCCATTAATCTCTTTAATGAATCCAGCCATTATCATATGGTAACCATTTTAACGTAACGTACCATGAAATTCAACTCTAGACTGTTATTCGTGTCTTTTTAATTTAAACCACTGCTTCGAGTAACATTCAGCACTTTCGCTGGTACGTGTACAATCACCCGTCATGGAGCGTTTATTCCCCTATAGGCGAATGGTGATGCCCTTCGGCTCCTTTTAGCTGTGGCGGTACATCTGCAGACTCTGATGGAGTGGGGTTTGGTCCAGGTTTCAGTGTGGTGAAAGAGCAGGGGAGTGTCTCGGATTTCATTATGTAGTGCTTGACGTGCATGCCACCAGATTATTCTTTGTAAATGTAAAGGATGAGCCAACCTCATAGTGTTTATTCAACCACTTTTGTCTGTTTTTTTCCTCCTTTTTTAAATTTTTATTTTTACCAATTATTTATTACCATGTAATGTCCTTTTAAGTATTGCTGCTATTACCATTATTCCATAGTTTTCAGAGAAGGCTGAGTTCTTGTGAAAGCTATACACTAATCTCTTATTTTATGTATGAATCAAAGTATTTAAACCTGCTGCTGATTCTTCAGGACATTAAGAGGACAGGTTCACCTGACCTTTGACCTGGATGGCGTTAGCAGGTGATGTAGGCTGGACCCCGGTGGTCATGTTCATATTTGTGATATATGCAATAAAATCCATCACCTTTATATTCTTGGTTCTGTCTTAAAATGTCTCTTTCCTCACTTAATGTGTATTGGATCAGTCAGAATTTGTGTCTTTGACAAGTGTGACAAGTTTTCTGTTTTTCCAAAAGACCGTGAATGCCTAGAGTGGTGAACCATTTTTAAACTGGCATAAAAGTCATAAGAGGTGACGTTTAATGTTGTGTAATTGTGGGAATGGCTAGTGAGCTTGAAGATGAGTATGGACTTTGCCTGAAGTTACAGTTGTTTTCATATTTCTCTAAGGAAAAACCTTTTTGTAATGTGATGTGACCAGTATCATCACATTGTACAATTATTAGGTCCTGAGTGTCATTGTTTATTCGATGCAAGTGTAATGTAACTTACTATGTACTAAACATTTCTGAAAAAAATTCAGTGTAAATAAGATTATATTAAAGAAACTAAATTGCAGTCCATTTCTTCTTGCTCTTTTTTTTTTTTGTCTTTGTTTGCACATATATTGTGAATTTTATTTAGTAATGAATGTTAAAGGAATAGTTCACCCAAAAATGACAATTGACTCGCCCTCAGGCTATCCAAGATGCATATGAGTTTGTTTCTTCATCTGAACAGATTTGGAGAAATTTAGCATTACATCACTTTCTCACTAATGGACCCTCTGCAGTGAATGGGTGCCATCAGAATGAGAGTCCAAATAGCTGATAAAAACATCACCATAATCCAGTCCGTCAGTTAATGTCTTGAAGTGAAAAGCTATGCATTTGTAAACCGCCCTGTTGTCCTCTCACATCAAAACTTTTTCACAGGAGAAAGCAATATTATGATAGAAGACTCGTATTTTAGACGGAGGCAATGGTTTGAGTTTCTTACAAACACAGCTTTTTGCTTCCAGACATTAATTGGCTGACTCGAGTCGTTTGGATTAATTGTGGATTATTGTGATGTTTTTATCAGCTGTTTGAACTTATTCTGACGGCACCCATTCACTGCAGAGAATATCTGTTTTATGTCTTGGAAGGCCAGAGGGTGAGTACATTTTCAAAAAAAATTCATTTTCGGGGTAACTACTACTATTCTACTCCTGATTGACCCTCATAATTATGCACGGTTTTGTTTTATTTGCCTACAAAAATAATGAAGGAACGGGTGACTCCGAACATAATGTCCTTTGGCAACTGTGAGCACAAGCAGTGCCTTGTTTCCAAGGCATCTGCAGGACTGGTTTAGAATTACATTCAGATTGTTGACTTTTTATCAAAGCAATTGGCCCCATGTGGGCCTTTCAATCTATGGCCTTTTATATAGATTTACTGTGAACAGCAGTGTCAAAATACTAAATGTGTAGATGTTACATTAAAAAAATGGAGCAATATATTGTCAGGAAGTGAAACTAAATTTATATTGTAAAACTCTTGTCATTACGTGAAGGAAAATATAATTGCCTTGTAATAATCATCATAATGACTGCATACAATTACCTTCAGATATGTTTTCTTAATTGCCCAACTCTCGTAACAAAATGTGCAAACCAAGCCAACAGTGGTGCCACAATCCTGGAACAGTAAGACTTTATGAAGAGGCATTATAAAGTCCCGTGACCTTAACCTGAGAGTTAAAACTTAAGCCAGAAAATTATGAAGCTCCTAGAAGTAGGTGTTCATTCAGGTTATTTCCTGCAATTTTAAAGGGGTCCTATTATGCTCTTTTACAAAGTCTTGATTTTGTTTTGTTTTTGTTTTTTTTGGGGGGGTACTAGAACAGGTTCTCATACTAGGTTGTTCGAAAAAAACATTATTTTTCACATATTTTGCATTATTACAACACCCCTCTCCCCAGTCTGGCATGAATGGCTCGAATAGTTCTTGTATCAAATGTAGGTCCGCCTTCTGAAATACGAAATGTGCTGTGATTGGTTAGCTGGGCCAGTGTGTGTTGTGATTGGCAGCACTCGGCGCCTGGTCGGGAAATGTCACGCCCCCTTACCATAACCGCCTGCGAGCTTCAGTGTAAATATTGGCTCAAAATCAAATCAATTTGAGCGCGATTTAACCCCGGATGATTGTAACCACTCTAAGTTCATCTGTCTTGGGAAAGCTAGCGTGTCTCCGACATAGTGATAACACTCGTTGCCTTCTCTAGTGCAGCTCAACCAGGTCTCGTCCCATTCGTCGATCTTTGTGATATCACAAATCCCAGAAAATATGTGTTGTAGTCCAAACGAGTCGATCGTTGTAGTTTTTGAAAAGTGATTTCTGTTAGATAAAATATCTCCTTTTGCGCTTTGTAACTTTTGCAGATCTTTTATGCTCAAACAGCAACATTACAGACTAACTAAAGTTGAAAAAGTGAAAAAGCATAATAGGACCCCTTTAAGAAAATGAGTTGCTCCTCCATCTGTAATGAAATCAATGAAGATCGGTGCTGGAGCTGTCAGGATGATGAAGACCAGATCTTTGGTGAAGGAACCGTGAAGTCTGACCTCAGGGGTTCAGACAACATAAGAAGATGAGAGATCCTCAATACAGTCTAACCTTTTCATTTTTTAGGAGCTCAAAGTAGTTTTGATAGGTAAGAGAAGATCAAATACAGTGCAGTGCGTCATACTTCACCTTGACATCACCACTGATCAACTGACCACTGAAGAAATGTAGAAACTTGAATTTTCTGTGAAGCTGCTTTGCAACAATTTGTATGGTGAAAAGCCCTATACAAATAGTCAATTGAATACTTTCCTGTAAATAATTCCTTGTGGGTTACAAAAGAGCCTTCTGAATGCTATTAACAGACATCTTGAGGGATTTTGGGAGGATTTTTTTTTTATTTCTACTATTATTTACCATCATGTCGTTCCAAACCAGTATGACTTACTTTCTTCTTTACAACACAAAAGAACATAATTAACCAAAGCAGCTCTTCTCAATTCAATGAACTTGAATGGTGACCTGAGATGTCAAGCATGAGCTCTCTCACACAAAGCTTTTGTATGGTTTTAAAAGACCTGGATACAAGTGAAAACTATTTTTGTGTTATTTTTTTATATTATTATTTATATTTTTTATGTATTTATTTATTTATTATTATTGTTATTATTATTTAATTTAATTTTTTGTATTTTTTTTGCATGCATGTGTGTCTTTTTTGGAGCTTGAGAGCCACTAAGCCACTCATTTTTTTGTGGTTTTGATTTTTGTTTTGGTCCTTAAATATTTAATTAATAATTTACACAACCATGAATACATCTTAAACCACCAAAAAGGGCTGACTGGCTTGCTACATGCCCCACATTGTGTTCCATTCATTGTTAAAACTTTGAATAAAATGAGAACATCTGTTGGAATGGTCAATGTTTTTTGTTTGTTTTGTTGTGACTTTGTTTTGTTTAGTACTGACTAGTACACTATTGCACTTATATGGGTTAAATGCAGAGCACAAATTCAGAGTATGGGACACCATACTTGGCCACAAGTCACTCGTCTGCACAATATCCTGTTACTTGTCTTAATTTTAATAATCTCCAGTATTTTGTTATTCATGTTGAGATGTGCTGGCTAATTAGCACTATGTGGACACATTTACTGGCAACACAGGCAGGATTTAAAAATTAAAAATAAACCTTATGGTGTTCTATTTAATGAGATGGTTCCTTTGAGTCCATTTCAAGGGGAAAATTCTGTAAAGTATTTGTATCGAACTTAGAGCTTCTATTTCATCCGTCCTGTTTGTTTTTAAAAACGTCAAACATAAAAAGATGAAATGTAGCCTTGTTTCCAATTAGGGTTGATTTTTTTTTAAGAGAAATTAATCATGCTCATGTAGGATGTGTTCACAGCAGGAGTGGGACTTTGACAACTGCCAACATTCTTCTGAAAATAGAGACATTTTAATATTCATTTGTACATCACAGACCCATAGAAGTGCATTTATTTGCCTTTCGTGAAATGTAATATATAACCAAGAGCATCTGATCCCCATACTCCCAGAACAGGGGTAGGCAAGGTTGGTCCTAGAGAGCCGCAGTCCTGCAGAGTTCAGCTCCAACCCTAATCAAGCACACCTGAACAAGCTAATCAATGTCTTCAGGATTACTAAGGCTATGGGCAGGTGAGTTTTGTTTTCAGGGTTGGAGCTGAACTCTGCAGGACTGCGGCTCTCTAGGACCGAACATGCCTACCCCTGTCCCAGAGAGAGGCAGAGAGATTGAACACCCTCTTCAGACTAACAGCAAAAATTAATCTCAAAACATGTGTCATTAGAAAATATATGCTGTATATTGCACTACACCAGTTTCTCTGCTTCACTTGGTTTATAGGGGGAAATACCTGTTAATGAACCAAGAATACTGGAAAATGCAGTAGTCATGAGAACAGTCAACAAATATAAATAAATATAAAATGCCTCATTCATTTTTAACTCAACCCTTAAATTTGTTGTTTGAACAAATCCACTTGTGGTTTTAAGAAGAGCATTATATTAATTTCTTAGGTTTATCATCTTTAATTACTGATCTTTGATATGCTTAATGAAAAATATTCACATATATGTGGATCCAAATAGCAGGGAATTTTCTTTTTTTTATACTAGAAATGTTCTTTGAAACCTGATGATCCACAAATCTAATAATCCATATAATCTTTTTCCACATCTATTTTTTTTCTGCTGACAGTTCAGTTAGAAGTCGGTGGTGTGACTCCAGTTGCATAAACATAGCCACTATGTTAAGATTGTGTTTTAGGAATTAGTTTGACCAAGCCAGTTAAGAGTAATCAGTCTTACTTTTCAGATTCAGAAGTATATACAGAAGTATATACCAAGCTACCTTTTTGTAACTGACTTTTACACTCTTGAAGGAAAAAAATTGATGACAACATTTTTAAGACTAGTGTAAGCAGTTTATTTCCACCGGCCCCAGGTTGGAAGTAATATTTTTACACTCTAAAAAAATGCTGAATTAAAAACAACTATTTCTGGGTTACTTGGCAACCAGCGCTGAGTAAATATTGGACAGAACACATGCTGGGTCATTTTGACCCAGCTTGTTGGGTTTTATACATTAACCCATTTGCTGGGTTTTTTTTTGGCATAGTGCTGGGTCATTCAACCTGATATTGAAGGTTTTTCATTTTAAATAATAAAAATGCACTCTAAAATCTGTAAAATGTGAATCTGCGGGAAGAAAACTGGTATCAGTAAACTGTAAAAACAGTAAAAATGACCCAGCAGCTGAGTTACAGAAAAACTACCCAGCACCTGGGTGAAAATATTATATAAAATGCTGAACCCAGCATTTGGGTTTAAAAAAAAATCCCATCATTTTTAGTGTACAATCAACCATATAAAGAACTTGCTACATAAATGATTTCCCTTTGAATTCATGCTACCACATTTATTTTTATCTCATACATGCTCTTTAAATAAAATTGCTTATGCAAAGACCGAAATAATGAGTAACAAGTCA